TTTTTTTTTTTCTTTCTTTCTTTTTTTTTTTTTTTTTTTTTTTTCTCCCCACATTTATCTAAATATGAGGCTTGAAGCATGCAAAAAAATAAGAGATTTTTTTTTTTTTTTTTTAAATCATGACAGATCAGACTATAATTTGTGTGTTCATAAAGCAATGATCAAAATTGCAGCAGGAAAAGGTAACATGAAGAACATCCTAGGAGAAGGAGTAAAGGTTCAAATGCCCCATGTAAGGTCTGATGAATCCTTTGTCTTTCCCCTGGATTCTCCTTGCTGCACTTACAGGGGACCTGATGACTGCCTGGAGGGTCCTATGCAGTCCAGGATGTTGCCTGGTTGGGGAACATCTGCACCCCTTGTGGACTGATCAATTCTGATTCATATTGCCCTCCAAAGGAATGGTACTGGTACATTATGAATAAAAAATGTCTTCTGTGCTTGATTAGTGCTGGCACTTATGAAACCCAGACTGCTGGGTCATATGCTTTGAGTCTGCCACATCTTTTTTCTTGCAGTCATAAAAAGCCCTTCAGGAAGGCAAATTTAATAGCAAGACATTGCAACATGGGCTAACTCCCATTGCGTAATGGTAACCTCTGTCTCTGGGAGTTATTTGCTAGGATGACAGGCTTTGCAGTTATTTATTCTTCCAGTGGCAGTGAGAACATTGGAGAGGTCCCTAGGGAACTGCTCCATCTAATTCCTAATTGGGGTATTTAATAGTTTCTACCACAGGCTTCTTAAGGTTGAATGTGAACAGTGTCCTATTAGCCAAAAACCACTGAACAGCAAAGTGACAGTCAAATCACCAGAATGGCATTGTTATTTTTAATACACTGGCCTAAGGCTTTTGTGTGATAAAAAGGGAAAATAATAATTGCTTAATACTGGGAGGCTCAGGTACAATTTAAGATCCATCCCTATCTATTAAAGTAGGATAATTTCTATATTATATATCCAGGAGAATAACCAGAAATTAGATTGGCACTTACAGAAACAAAGGACCTTTCTTTTATAATTGGTTCCTTCTTGAAGGAAACCTGTCAGCCCATTCTGTGAATGTATTTCAGCCTAATCTATCCTGGAAACACCTTAGTGATTGAATTCTCTTCCTGCAATACTTGATCTGCAGGGGACTTCCTCACTCTGTAGTCTCAGGGTCCAAAGCTTGCTCCCCAAGCAGTGCACTGCCGGAATCCAAGAGGGATGAAGTTTTCTGCAAGACTGTGACATTTTGCTGCCAGGGATGCTGGCTTTTTGCAGCATTAATGAATGTATGTTGTAGGAGATAAAAAAAGAGAGGCTTTAAGTCCTCAGAAGTCCTCCAAACATTACCTGTTCAGCGTTGCCCAACAAATAGCTAAGACTTAAAGTTCAAAATAAACATAACTTTCACCCATGTGTTTTACTGAAAGGTGGCCTTCAAAAAGAAAAGAAAACAGATTGAAAGAAGCTTGTGCTTCTTTCTGCTTCTGTTTGGTGGGCAAATCTTGACAAACCTCTATTCCCATCTTGCAGTCACAAAGCCACACGTCAGGCATGTGCAGATACCATGTCAGATATCAACATTTCTTTCCTGGGTGTCTTCTTCATAGCTCCCATAAAAGCTTTGTAAATCCCAAATTGCCCTCCTGCAAGATGC